GCTCACGCCTTTAGTTTTCGTTTCTGAACAGCCCGCGTTTTACTTCAAATAATTTTGAACAAAAATCGAGGTACGTTTCCTTGTTTTTAATACTGCCGCTTTGTAGATTTTTGATTCTTTAAGCTCAATGGCTCCCGTGCGCGCAATGTCTGCTTCTAAAGTAGACGATTGGAATCTGATAGTAGTCTGAAAAAAATTTCGAATCTGAAAAAGTCCATATCTGACAAATTTTCATAGTTTTGCGAAAGTGCGTGAGAGAGAGAAGGAGAGAGAAAGGGTGAGAGAAAAAGAGAGAGAGAGAGCGAGAGCGGAAGAGAGAGAGAAAGCGAGAGAGAGTTCTAGTGAGAGAAGGAGAACGAGAACGCGAAAGAGAAAGCCTGGTCCTTCCTTGTGACCGAAATTGCTTGATGCGGATGTAAATAGTCACCCCTGAGTGAATATTGCCCGCCTAATTCGCGCCTTAACATTTCACTTCCCACGCCCTGCGCCATTTTTATGAAAGATGGGATAAATCGCTATGTTATGTGTGCTTTCACTTGGCAGCTTACTCCATACCTAAAACGCCGCTACGATTTGACCGGTGCCCTAGTGGGTTTGAAGGGTGGCGTCCTTTTGGGCGACGCGTCCCCGAGCTCGGATTTGGCGCCAATATATTAATGCGCGGCCCCAGACCTCGTGTTCGTATCAAGCGACCATTACTACTGTCATGCTTTCCATCCCAGTCATTTATTTCCTTTCCACCATTCTGTGGGTCTGAAAATTTTATTTAAATTCTTCCTTTTTATTAGTTCGCCTTCTTTTTCCTTAATTTTTTTCTTCTAATAGTTGTCTTTCAACCACTTTTAAACGTTGTCGAAATGTATTAAAGATGTTTCATATGTAAAACACATCGTTTCATATATTTACGGCACTTAAAATTGACTTAAAATCAACGCCGCAGTTTTTTGTTCAGGTCTCTCTCTCGCTCGCTCGCTCTCTCTATCTCTCTCTCTCTCTCTCTCTCGCTCTTTCTCTCTCCCTCTCGATCTCTCTCTGTCTCTCTTTAGCCCACCTCTTTCATTTTAATAGTCTGTCGGAAACAACCAATTTCTAAAATTTCAGGGCCCACAAACCCTCATCTTGGAGGATTATTCCAAACCACGGCGTCTACATAATGTGACGTCTTTTCAACATCAAGGATTTTCCTGTTGCTTTTTTAAGTTTAACAAGTGAGTGGAACCTTGCTATTCTGATATTTTGTACCAGGTCAGAAGTAAATAATATAGGGTTTTTCATTCAATAAAAGAGACGAAACAGTATGGCTTAATTTTCAGATTCTTAAGAGGAAAATGTACGATGGAACTGCAAAACACAAAAATGGAACGGACTAGCAAAGCTTCAGCACAAAAAATCCGAATTATCCGACGGTAGGTTTTGCCCAAATTATGGAACCGGTGATTCACAGGCAATTATTCAAATATTGAATAACCAATTCCTATTTCCAGTACGCTAACATCTACCATGATGTCACGTCCGCAAAAACGAGCACACGATTCCGATGATGTTGACAGCGATCAGCAGGAGCGTGAGACCCGCAGAATTCTAAAACAACACAACTCCATACGGTAAAAATATCTCTGTTTAAATGTACTGTCAGAATTTAGAAAATCGACAAGGAGGAGATGAAGGCGAAGTTTGTGAACAAACTCAAGGCAGCACGGAAGGAGAAAGCGGATGAGGGATGCGTGTATGGGGCGACACACACCAACTAGGAGTGTAGGTGTGGGGATTCCTTTGAGGAAGCCCTCGAATACCTCCTACATGCGGGCGTTTGCACCCGATGCTTGCTTAAAGCAAAACACGACCCATACCAGTGTCGAATTGCCCCCCATCGCGATTGCGGCAAGCGCGATTGTTTCCTATTACGCGTCCACAATAAGCAGCTCCATGATCTCCATCAGGTCAGGAACCCTTCGCTCATGGCCCCAGTGACTCTACTGTGGCCCAACGGAGTGCAGGCCGAGGACGTGGTCGTGTCCCCATCTAGCTCCCAGTAATTCAGCCCCTTGGTTCCAACCCTTCGATTCAGACGCAACATGCCCGAAGATAGCATACATTATACTCCCTATCCCTATACCTTCTTCCGAACCTTATGTCTCAGTCTATAGAATCTCATTAAAATCAACTACCTCATTTTGATTACTGTAACTTATCTGTATTTTAAGAATAAACAGCCTAAATTTCAACAACATTTATTGTCAACACAGATACCTGTAGGCGATTTATGGGCGGATCAGACGACGTCCAAGCACAAATCCAAACAGCATCCCGACGTGGATCAGCGACCCTAGCACGACGAACAACCAGCCGTCGTGGACAGATTGATCACAAGCCACTGCAATAACCAGCCAAAAAACCGAGAATGAGCATCAGAATCATTAGCATCCAGAATACGATCGTTTTCCACATCGGAGTCTGACGATCTCCGCATGGCTCCATCTCAGTTAACTGCAGCAATCCACTACAGGCCATACGAGCGATCTGGTCGCGCGAAGCACACCCCAACGAGAGATTTTCGCCTGATCTAGAGAAATTATATTGGCACCCGAAGTTTTATTTTAAGTTTAAGTTTTATTAAGTTTTATCATAAAAATATTTTTAACTATGGTTTTTACGGGGCAACAAAAAAAGCTCTTTTTCGGCGCTCTATCGGATGGCATTTTCAAAATACCGAAAATATTTAAAACGTCGAAAATATGTTTCCCCTTGTCGTCCTATGTGCTGCCGACAGTGTTTAAAATTAGTTTTTAGGCTATAAATCTTTTATAATACATTTTTTCGCGTTGAAAAAAATCACTTAGTATATGTTCAAACGTTTTATCGATTGGTGTTTTTCGAATATCGAAAATCTCAAAAATTTGACTCCCCCACGTTATTCCATGTGCTGGCCATGGATTTTGATCGATTTTTGTTTATTCGAAAAAAATTGCAATGGCAGTATTTCGGGCTTAAATCAATTTTCCTGAGACAATTTTTTACGCTGTATCAAATGACGTTTTCAAAATATCGAAAATTTTGGAAATTTTGAAACTTTGACGCCCGCCCCCCGTTATCCTATGTGCTGCCCATAAATTTTGCTCAATACCTGGTTATTCAATAAAAAATTTCCATTACATTATTTCTCTCTGAAAATAATTGTTTTAATATATTTTTCCATGTTCTAGGGAATGGCACACGTAAAATGCCACATTAATTGCGAATTTTATAATACTGAGTGCCCCCCACCCCGTTATCCCCCGCCCCCGTTACCGTACCAGCCTTTGATTTTGGCTCTTGTTGCGAAACGGTAATCTTCCTGGGAAGTCCGCCCCGTCTTTTGGGTTCAAGCACATGCACAAAACGCAGTGCCCGCGAGTGTTTAGATAATCCTGATGTCCTCGACATTTTGTTTGAGGTAAAGGTTGAAAGGGATTAGATTCACGGGCCACGAACTTTCGCCGTCCTGGCCAGGAATATGCTTCAAAAGCAGATTTGATTTGTTTAGCCGCAAATCGGGAGATGAAATCCCATGCCGTGGAGGATACTCTCCAAAAATTCGTCCATATGAAAATGTTTTTAAAGGGCACGTTCAGCGACGTTTTTTTAGAAAAAAGCAAAGATTTTTGCCGCAGCCGAGGGTCGGACCCGGGCCCCCCGCTCGGGAGGCGCGGATGGATACCAGTCAGCCACAGCTACAACCTGGCGAGGGGGCGAGGGGCGCCCCACGCCGCAAAGGAGGGGAATGGCCTGTCACAGCACGGGCAGGCAGTGCGCGCGGTCCCTACGTCCATAGGGTGTACACCTTGGGACGAGTGCACGGCCCCTCCCTGAACGTGCGCTTTAAATGAGTAAGTGGGATAAATTGGCTATATCATCTGTTCTCTCACTTTGTAATTTACTTCATACCTAAAACCCCGCGAAACGATTTGATCGGTGCCCCAGTGGGTTTGAAGGACGGCGCCCTTTTTCCCATCCCAGATGTCGATTTTGGCGCCAATATATTAATGCCCGGCCCTTAACCTCGTTTTCGTATCAAGCGACTCCTTCTGCTGTCATGCTTTCCATCCCATTCATTCATTCAGTCCGCCGTTTGTTCTCGGAATACTTTCTTTAAATTCTCTTGTTCACTTATTTCACCTCTCCTAGAATTTCCCCTTGCTTTCCACGGCTCTGTATTTTCCTTGGTTTCTTGTGTATTTTATTTGGGTTAATTTCGGTAATTTTTGAGTTTTGTCGAGATGGTTTAATGCATGTTTATTTTACTCCCAAAATAAACATGCGGTAAATTTGAAGAGGTACAGCTCTTAAAATTGACGTAAATTAATACGCCGATTATTTGTTAGTCGAATCCCCTCTCTCTCACTCTCTGTCTCTCTCTCGCTCCAGCTCTCTCTCTCTCTACCATTCTAACAATCCTTTTCAAACCGCCCAATTTCTAAAATTTCAGGGCCCACAAACTCTCAACTTGAAGGATTATTCCAAACCACGGCGTCTACATAATGTGACGTCTTTTCAACATCAAGGATTTTCCTGTTGTTTTTATTTAACAAGTGAGTGTAAATTATCAGGTTTACGTCCTTCTCAATTCAAGTAACAAGTAGCGATAGGATTTTTTTGTTTAATACAGCACTCCATAAAGTATACCATTTTTCAGGTATCTAAGAGGAAAGTGCAACGATGTCTGTATGGCCTCAGAATATATGGCATCAACGGTCACTACGTGGTGATGTGCTCGGAAGACGTCCTTCGCTGCGAGAACTGTTCTTTTTCTTCTCACTCTTCTCATTCATCATCCACCGGCTATTCGCAAATATGGAGATGAATTTCGCTGTTCGCATGGGTTGAGCTACTTGCCCTCTCGCACCGCTTAACTGGTGCCTTCTGGCGAAGTGAGTTGACTTTAAAAAATTTAAAGCTAAATTGTTCCTTTCTTAATTTAGTTTAATCGAATTTTTATTCTTTTCAGGGTAGAGACTGACGTAATGATCGGCTGTGTCGGCCAAGAAGTGGTGGCCGGCTTGTCGTGTGCCGGTGCCCTCGAGACGTCGAGACTCAACTTGCCGACTTGTGATCAATCTGTCCACGACGGCTGGTTGTTCGTCGTGCTAGGGTCGCTGATCCACGTCGGGATGCTGTTTGGATTTGTGCTTGGACGTCGTCTGATCCGCCCATAAATCGCCTACAGGTATCTGTGTTGACAATAAATCTTGTTGAAATTTAGGCTGTTTATTCTTAAAATACAGATAAGTTACAGTAATAAAAATGAGGTAGTTGATTTTAATGAGATTCTATAGACTGAGAAATAAGGTTCGGAAGAAGCTTTTGGGGATAGGGAGTATAATGTACGGGATCTTTGGTCAAGCGGCGTCTGAATCGAAAATTTTCGTTGTTTTGGTGGCTTTTGCTTAGAAAGGGTTGGAACCAAGGGGCTGAATTACTGGGAGCTAGATGGGGTCACGACCACCTCCTCGGCCTGCACTCCGTTGGGCCACAGTAGAGTCACTGGGGCTAGCATTCCTGACCTGGGGGAGGTCGTGGAGCTGTCGATTATGCACGCGTAAGAGGAAGCAATCTTTACGTACGCATGTCTCGCGATGGGGCGCTATTCTACACTGAGAGGGATCGTGTCTCGATTTAAGAAGGCACCGGGTACCCGCGTGAAGGAGGAATTCGAGGGCTTCCTCAAAGGAGTCTCCACACCTGCATTCCCAATTGGTGTGTGTCGCGCCATACACGTATCCCTCGTCCGCTTTCTCCTTCCGTGCTGCCTTGAGTTTGTTCACAAATTTCTCCTTCATCTCGTCCTTGTCGATTTTCTAAATTCTGACAGTACATTTAAACAGAGATATTTTTACCGTATGGAGCTTATTCTGCGGGTCTCACGCTCCTGCTGATCGTTGTCATCATCATCGGAATCTTGTGCTCGTTTTTGCGGACGTGTCATCATGGTAGATGTTAGCGTACTGGAAATAGGAATTGGTTGTTCAATATTTGAATGATTGCCTGTGAATTACCCGTTCCATGATTTGGGCAAAACCTACCGTCGGATCTGTCGATTTTTTCTGCTGAAGCTTTGGTAGTCCGTTCCATTTTTGTGTTTTGCAGTTCCATCGTACATTTTCCTCTTATGAATCTGAAAATTAAGCCATTCCTTCCTGTGGCACGTGCGGAGGCGAACACGACAAAGCGATATGTCATCTCGAAGCCTCCGAGGTTCCAGACGACCGAATACATCAGCTAGCCTATAATGCAAAATATTTATATAAATTTACTAAATTTCAAACTTGCGCCTACAGTAAACCACCTCCAGTCAGCACCCGAGACCACGCCCTTTACAAAGCGCCCCACGGCCTTCCCGCCCACACCCCATACTCACAGTCAGACCCTCAGGATTCGACTACCTCACGACTTTAAAAATTTCTGTCATCTCACTTTATCCATAATCTATCTCCCACACAATAATCAATCTTCACCTTATTCCATTTCAATTTCGCGACCTCTTGCATAATTATATTACAAGATAATTACCCCTGTCTTTCCAGCTAATGTCGAAACGCCAAGCTCCCTCCCTCATCTCTGAGGCTGAAGAGCGAAGAAAACAACTCATCGACGAGATCTTGAGTGATCAACGCGTATTCCGGGTAGTTATCGTTTTGCAAATAGTATAGTCTCAATTAGAAACAAGCGGTAGAGGAATCTCCAAAACAACGGGACGCTAAACTCCAGCTCGCACGAACAAACAAATTGGACGAACGTAACACGTGCCCCTGGGGTCAACAACACTCACTAACGGAATGTACGTGTCAGGAAGATTTTCATCTCCACTTGTCAGCAATTCTATCATACCGTAGTTGCCCCATATGCCTTAGCCTTAACCCAAATCACCCCTTTCTACAATGCAAACACCTCGATTTCAAAAAAACTATGCCGCCTAAAAGCATGTCGCTTCACCGTCCTACACTGTTTTACTTTACACCATCTCTCCCCAATCCTTCCCCGACTCAAAGAACCACACCCCATCTTATCACTATACCCGCGCGAAACCGGCAACGGTTTCAGCTTCCCAAATCCAACCACTTCAGCCAATCTCTTTGATGAACAAGATATCCCAATCGAGATTGTAGAGGAACACGCTACCCCAATTGACGATTAATTTCCACTCGCAGTTACGTATAACGCTTACTTTCGCTCACTCTAATTTCATAGCACACCTTAAAACTCATTCCCGCTTTACCTCGTTTCACTCAGATATTAATTCACTGTATTCCATAAGCATAAATCCAAGTTCGCTTTAACAACTTTATTCAACACACCTTCCAATTCAGCCCATTGCAACAACATACGACGGCCAGTACAGCCACTGCAATAACCAGCCAAAAAACCGAGAATGAGCATCAGAATCATTAGCATCCAGAATACGATCGTTTTCCACATCGGAGTCTGACGATCTCCGCATGGCTCCATCTCAGTTAACTGCAGCAATCCACTACAGGCCATACGAGCGATCTGGTCGCGCGAAGCACACCCCAACGAGAGATTTTCGCCTGATCTAGAGAAATTATATTACAAACAACTTTATTTACTCTTTTCTGAATATCAAGTAAATTTAAAAAATTAAAATGCAAAACATGGCAAACTCTACTCACTTGATTAGCAATCACTTATTTGACACATTTTAACCGTCCATTAATGTGTGTAGTTATGATCATGAATCTCTAGATTAGTCACAAAGTTATCAACATTTATTCAGTAAGGCCAACAAGTGATGAAATTCAAGAAGTGACGGTTCTCGTTACTTCTAGAGGAATCCGCACGATCCAAGCGACAGCAGACGACGTCCTGCCTTCCAAATACACATCACGAAGAACAGGCATAGCCCAAAAGGTATCGGTAAAAATGGTATCGTCGATTTTTTCTATGTTCAACAATTTTGAGTGAAATAGCTCATTCGATAGAGAAAATTTTTCTGAATAAGGTGACGATATTTATTTTTGGCAAAACAGCCGGGAAAAGCAATATAATGGTCCCTAAAGAGGGGAAAATGTGGGCTAAAACGATCTTACAATTGCTATAACTTTTGAAATCGAACTATTTAGCAGAAATGGAAAACATATTCGGAATCAGCGCAAAATTCTGCACAAAATAGGCCTGGTTTCCACTCAGAACTCTATTCACACCAAAAAACGTCTCCTTGTTAGATCAGGCTTACTCGCTGGACGTTGCGTGGAATTAGATGGCAGCGGAGGACTTGTTGGTGATGTCACTAAATTTCAAGTTTAACAATGTTTTAAATATGTTTTAAAATACAAGAGAAAAATAGACTTACGTTAGCGGCCTCCTTTTGGGTGTTGAGCCGCCTTCATGGGACGGTGTAGCGGACGATCTTGAAGGGCGACGCGGGGCCCCTGGGGCCGTAGCAGGGGCCTTGTTCTCCTCGTCTTCATCACTATCGTCGTCGCTCCAGACGAGCTTCGGAGGCGGCGGACGGGTCTACGCAGGTGTGATCTTAGGGCTTTCCATTGTGTCCATTGGCTGATCATTCACCCGTCTGCCCGGGAGGAGATACGGTAGCCATAGATAACGAGAGAGAGAGGGAAAGAAAGAGAGAGAGAGAGAGAGAGAGAGAGAGAGAGAGAGAGAGAGTGAGTGAGGGAGTGAGTGAGTAAGTGAGAGGGAGGCAGAGAGTGAGAGAGAGGGAGAGAGGGAGACAGGGAGAGAGGGGAGAGGGAGAGAGGGAGAGAGGGAGAGAGGGAGAGAGGGAGAGAGGGAGAGAGAGAACGAGAAAGGGAAATCCTTTCTCTGCATCCCTCTGATCGATATTGATTAATGCTGATGTAAAGAATCACCCCTGAATGCGTGCAGCTCCGCCTAATTCGTATTTTACCAGGTTACTTCGAAGTACTGCGCCATTTTTAGGTAGTAAGGGATAAATTCATCGGCGCCATGTAAAGTCTGCGCTCACTTTTTAGTTTACTGCGTGCTCAAAACCTGGCGTAACGTTTTTGCGTTTTTTCAGTTGCGCGGGCGCGTTTTTGGGTGAGTCACCCCGAGTCGGATTTGGCGCCAATATATTAATGCGCGGCCCCTGACCTACTTTTTGTATCAAGCGATCACTTTTGCTGTCACGTTTTCCGTCCCATACATTCATTTAGACCCCCGTTTTTTTCTTGGAATATTCTCTTTAAATCCTCTTGTTCACTTATTTCACCTCTCCTAAAATTTTTCCTTGCTTTCCACGGGCTTTCATTTTCCTTGGTTTCTTGCGTGAGTTTTGTCGAGATGGTTTACGCAGGTTCATTTTACTCCTAAAATAAACATGCGGTAAATTTTAAGAGGTACAGCTCTTAAAACCGGTCTTAAATTATTTGTTTGTCCAATCTCACTCTCTGGCTCTCCCTCCCTCTCTCTCTCTCTCGCTCTCTCTCTCGCTCTCTCTCTCTCTCTCTCTTTCTCTCTCTCGTTCTTGATCACTGGATTTATAAATAGAAATTCTAACAATTTTCAGGATCCAAAACCTTCACCTTGGAGGATTATTCCAAACCATGGCGTCTACATAATGTGACGTCTTTTCAACATCAAGGATTTTCCTGTTGTTTTTTTTTAAGTTAATAAGTAAGACGACCTTTTAAATGCTGTTATTTACGTTTGTGCCAATTCAAGTAAGTAGTAACAATAGGATTTTTTCGTTTAATACAGGAAACCAAAATGTATGGCCCATTTTTCAGTTCGGCAGGAAGAAAGGTACGATGAATGGACTAGAACAGCTCCACCACACAAAATGTTAATGGTGAGACAGTAAGCTTTACCAAAATTATGGAACGTTGAGCTGATTAGGTATCGCATTTGAAGGCAACAACAAAAACAAGCCATCGACTGCCACGCTTCCATAAGAGGTGATGTCGTCGGAAGACGTCCTTTGCTCTGGGAATTGCTAAAAAAAGAATGAAATTGTAACAACCCATAACGGAGGTAATTTATTTGTGGTAATCTCGATTTTTCTTTGCAGGTAGATATGATTGCAAATGGAGGGTAGAAGTTGCTCAAAACTGGCGACACAAGGAGTGCCCGGCGTAGTACTGGTAACCGGAGGGGCCAAGAGAAGTTTATATCGAAAACCATGTTGACGCAAGCGAAACAAGGTATATCTTTGTTTTTATTGTGGCTGATTATAATGGTACTATTCCAATTTACGATGGTGAGGTTAGGAAGTTGAACGAAAAATTCTGAACTCCTAACTTTTTCCTTAACTTTCTTTGATTTCTTGAAAATGGCCTGGCCAAAATGAAGTCTTTAATTCACATAGCCGAAAATACAATTTTCAAAACGACTAATTTTAACCAGCTTTGCTATCACAAAAAATAAAAATAAAATGGAATTAAAAAGACGCAGTTTTTTAGCAAGAGCTCATGATCGAATTAAGACAATCTCGCTTATTCCAAATACGATTCTTTTATCCAAGTTCCAGAAAAAATTATGGATGGCCGTTATTGACCAAGACGGTCGAAAAACTATAATTTCTCGCTAAACATTAGTCCAATCTACATCTGGATTTTCAGTTGCGCTTCATCGACAGCTATCGCTTCATACCGATTAGGGTGAAGAATTGCTGGTTGGGCTGTAAAATGTTAGCCGCAAATCCTGGGATCAACTGGGGTACTCGGTGCGTTTTTAACACCATAAGCCATGTCTTATCGGCAACCCCTCACGTTAAAATAATTCAGACAAAGCCACGAAAGATACGAATCAATTACGTATAGTTTTTAGGTAATAAATCACTTAATAATTCTAATACAAAAAAATCAGAAATTCAGCATGTTTGGGCTAATTATGAACTTTTAGGTCACGGCGAGAAGTTGAAATATTGCTATGAAAGAAGATAAGCCGGTCTACTACCAAGATGTAAACAGGTTAGTTGCTCTCAAAATACTCATTAATTGGCAAATATTTCTAGCATGTACTCAGCGATACGAAAGGAAGATACAAGAAGAAGAAATGATGAAATTATATAAAACCTCGGGCCTCCACATGTATGCTGCTATTCCTCATCACCTATTACAACGCCCAGAGCATTGTGATGATCGAGGAGACGTCCGCAGAAGAATTCCGTTTCACGCAACAGTAAGTGAAATTCAAAATGATTTTAGTTTAAATTTAAATTTCATGGACATTTGTCTTTTCAAATGGTTTTTTAAAAGACTGCGAAATTTTGAAAGCGTGAAAAATGCGTTTGTTTTGATATTTCGTTGTCATCGTTTATTTAGCTGATTTTAGAATTTTGCTATGTGAAATAGACGTTGAGATTGACTAATAATATTTAATTGATTTGATGAAAATTATGAATTGTCTATATCTAACTCGATAAAGCTAAAAAATCTGAATAAGACCATCTGTAAAATTGTTTGAAAAATGCTCGAAAATGGACGATCTTGTTCCTTTTTAGCAGCGCTTGGCCAAATTTGAACCTTTAGCACCTTGTTTCGCGAGAACCGGTCTTGTTCAATAAGTTTTAACAACGCAAAATGTTGGTAATTTCGAGCTCTATCGAATTCATTACTCCATCGCCCCTAAAAAAAGGCTCCTCCTCTCCAATTTTCCAAATTTCCAAATCCAAAAGCTCCTAAAAAGGCTCCTCTTAAGGCATTTTGCCGCTGAGGCTGATCCTACCTTATATAATTTTGGCGCGTGTATGTGTGTGTTTGTGGATGTCACTTTCGAGGCCCGATTTGAGGGCCTTCCCGTGCATAAAATGCCCTAATTCTTCGTCACCCGGCGGCATCAACCCATCTGTTTCCGATGGCGTTGTCAGAATTTCGATAAAATACAAGTTTACAAAGTTAAAGCCGGTTTTATTCATTTTTGGGGGTCCCTGAGGGCTAATTTGCATAATGCGGAAAAATACAAATTTCCTCATTCTTGCCAGTTGCACTCGCGTGTGTGGCCGGTGGGGGAAGGGGCCCAAAGGACCCGAGCTATCGGGAAGTCAAATTTTTCATGCAAAGGCCGCATTCCAGCGCCCAAGGCCCGCGAAGCGGGTTTTGGGCGCTGGTCGTAAAATAAAACGGAACGGGTCAATGAGCGAAACCATGGTGTTATATTAAAAAAATATTTTTGGCTACATTTTTAGGTACAATGAAATGTTCAACCTTCGTG